TCATCACCAAGGTTCCTTAAGAGGCGCCATAGTGTGTACCTGGAAATACCGTGTTGCCGACTTGGGAGGAAGAAGTACGAACAGCAGCCAGGGTTCATAGATCCAGACATGCTTGCAAAGGTTGATCGCCCGCTCTCAGATGGGGACAGCCCTGTCCTGGGGAGCTGTGACCCCGGAGATGCAAGCTCACCCCGTGCTGGCTGTGGGGCCCCACTTCTGGCAGGACTCAGGGATGCCACAGTTCTGGTCTTCCCCAGTGAGCTTTTGGCCTCCCAAGGGTTCTAAGCACAGAGAGAAAATACTTCTCTCCTGAAACTTGCTGTTTGCCTTCATAAAAATGCCAGGCACACGTCTCCATGCAAAGGCAAGCACACAGGTGTGTTTCCTTTTCAGTAGGAAGTAAATTCCCAACCCCTGTGTTTTCCTGGGGTGTTCTCGCTCCTCAACCGGAGGCCGTTTCTACAGCTGAGGTCTCCAGTCCCTGGTCCGCATCACATCCCCTCAGCCTCCACTGTCCTGGGCATTTCCATCTGAGGGAAGACTTATCCTTCCCCAAGCCATTCCCCCCTCAGTTCCTCCACACTACTTTCCACCTTCTGCTGTGGGCTTTCCTGACCTCCTGGAGGCCCAAGGCCAGGTGTGTAGCATGAGTACCTGGGGGACCTGCTGCCCAGGAGTCCATGATCCCAGTTTCCTCACATGATTGAGTCCCCTAGGCCACAGCACACCTACACTTTCCCCTTCCTCTGCCCCCAACACTCAATCCCACTTCCTGCAGTTAAATTAACTACATCCAAACCCTTGTCCCTCTCAGGCTCTGCTTTGGGAGTTTGGGGGCTTGGGTGGAATACAGACAAGCACAACATTCAATTCACAAGTCTCCAGTGAGATTGATAAGTGTTACGAGAGAACTGAGGTTGATACTGATTTCTTTTTGTCTGTTTGAGACAGGGCCTTGCTATGCAGTTTAGGCTGAACTTCAACTCACTATGAAGCCCAGGCTGGCCTCAAACTCATGGCAATCCTCCTGCATCAGCCTCCCAAGTGCTGGGATTACAGGCATGTGCCACCATGCCTGGCTAAAACACTTTCAGAATTCTGTAATAAGAGCAAGCAGGCTTGTTTTTATTTTTATTTATTTATTTTTTTGGTACTGGGAATCGAACTCAGGGCCTTGCACTTGCCAAGCAGGCGTCGTGCTGCTGAGCTGTATCCCTGGTGAAAGATGTCGACCGTGCTTCAAGGACAGCCTAGAGTGAAACCTCAGAAAGCAGCCTGCTTTCCTCTAACCACCTTCCTCTTCACTCATGAGTGTGCGTTGTAAGCAAAAGAAACTAAGTCTGGTCACCTTCATCTAGAAGGGAAGTGCACAAGCTTTCCGAATGAGTAAGGAAGCCCGTGACGCAGGTCTCAGGGAAGGCAGGAGCCGGCTCTCTGAGGAGCCACCAGCCCCAGCACAACAGTGCAGACTCGGCCGAGGCACAGCGCTAGTTGGCACCTGCTGCCTCGCTGTCCTGGAGAGGAGCTCAGACCCCAGGGAAAGAGGACCACTCAGCACAGCTCCGGAGATGCCTGCCCACCTGGCCAGGCGACAGCAGGTTACCTGTCCATGGTGTCCCGGGGAGCCTGATACAAAAGAGCGGGGTTTCCCAGAGGAGAACCCGTCCCGTTGTGTGAAAGGAGGTGGAGCAGGAGACTCCCTGAGACAGTCCTGTCCTCTATACACAGGCAGTGGGGACATCCACTTCATCCACCTGGTGAGGAGGAACTCACGCAGTGCACAAGTCAGCAGCATCAAGCGTGGTGTGCCTGGTAACTGCCCTTGCCAGGCAGGCGTTGTGCTGTTGAGCTCTATCCCTGGTGAAAGATGCAGACCTGCTGCAAGGACAGTCTAGAGTAAAAGCTTAGACAGAGGTTCTTAGAAACCTTAGAAGCAGGTGCTTCCTTATGCGGAAACAGAGATCAGGTCTGCTTCCTCCAAACACGGGTCTCCCGCGGCCTCACGTGATGTGGGCGTGCACCTGGAGTCCAGCTGCGAGCTGGCGTTCTGGGGGCACCTCCAGCTTCCCAGGCAGACCCCGCTCCTGTCCACCCCAGGGAGCTGTCTCCTGGGATGTCTGTCTCTGTGACTGTCCTAGGCGGGGTGAGGTCACCTCTGGGTGTTTGTTGAGCAGAGGAGGCCTTGACGCAGTCACACCTTTCTGTATGTTTATTTCTTCCACGCTTATCCATCCACCTTAATAGATACCGGGTCATTTCAGAATCGTGTCCTAAAATGGTGAGCGGTCTCCAAAGGAGTTGAGCAAACACAGGCAAGAAAAATAAAAAAGAGAGGGAGAAAAAAGTAGATCTGTTTTTCTCTGCTTGGGAACAGTAAAGCAATCTCACGTATTTTCAGCCTGGCGGGTAGGGTGTGATTATCTGTGATAAGGAAATGCAGAGTAGCCATGGCTGGAGTGGGCAGAGCTGCGTTATCTCTGCAGGTGTCTGGGGGTAGAAGTCCGGGGCAGGGCGGTCCCAGGTTCCTCTCCGCCCTGCTCGGCTCACCCTGCTGGTACCCCTCCAGCACTGGCTTCCCCCAGGTGCCCCGTGTGGGGAGCAGAGGAGCTGGTGTGTCACACGCAGCTCTCCCCCGGTCGCCCAGAGCAAGTTCTCCCTGGGAAACATCTCACACTGGACCTCAGTGTATCGGAAGGCACGTGCGTTCACACTTGGCTCCTTGCACACTTCTGTTCTGCAGACCGAGCACGGGCAGGAGCTGATGGATGCATGCTGTGTCCTCAGCATCCGAGCCTTTGTCTCCCGGGCTCAAAGGCGCTGAGGTGGCCCAGGGCAGCATGGCACCTGAGCCTTCCAGGGCCGCACGTGCCCAGGGACCAGGGCAGTGGCGGGTGACACCGGTGTCCCAGGTGTGAGCAAGGGTCCCCCATGGCCCTCCCATCTGTGGACTTCTGTGAGTGGTCCACACCTGCTCACCATGGCCTTCGGCTGCAGCTGCTCTCGGTACCGAGCTTTCTCCTCATATCACGCTGAGCTTGCAAGCGCGTGTGAACGCCACTCGGTTTCACTGCTGAGTGTGGACGGTCTTTACCTCCCTCCACGATGCGCACGGCAGCGTCCCCGACCCGGGCAGCGCGGCCTCAGTCTCCTGCTCTCCTGCACCGCCAGCCCGTGTGGGCCCCCCCGAGAGCATTTCCCACCCTGTCCCTTTCCATCCTCCTCTCTTAGAGCAAAAAGCACACATGGCTCCTTTCTTCCCAGAGGTAGAGGGAAATAGCATTATATTTGGGTTTTGCCCCTTCGTTTTTTTAGTATGTTTTTACCAAAGTGCAGTGAAATCAAGCTGGGAACTAGGAGGAGAAACGGCAAGATGCATAGGGCGCTGGGGTCCCTGAGGGAAGGAGCTGCTCTTACGTAAGAGCAGAGCTGAGTGGGGACAGCGGGCGTCTGTGGGGGCTCTGAGCCTTCGCCTCCGCTGACAGAGCCCACGGACCACCGCGCACCGCACACCCCTCGGACCCGATCCAAGCAAGCCCAGTGAGCTCGTGCCTGAGCGGCCACCGTGAGGGACAATGACCACAGCCGGGCTGGCGGTCAGGGCCAGCTCACCTCCGCAGCATGGTGTGGACTTCCTGTGTGAGTCCAGGAGAGGCCGAAGTGTGGACTTTCCCCAGTGGGGAAACGCGTGGGGCCTGGGGACAAACGGCCCTTGGGGACACCACCAGTATGGATGGCTTGGGACCGAACAAAGCACACACGTGTGAGGGCTGGCCACGTGAGATTTGGGGGACCCCGGGACTCAGATCTTTCTGCGGTAGAGGAGATGGAGTGAGGCCCCCTTCCCGGGTCCCCTTATGCGAATCAGGCTCACGGGGGAGCAGTGATGTGCATCTCACCCCTTCCTGTGGGGTGGAGTGGGCACAGCCCACAGCTATCCCTCACTGGCTGCGGCCAGACCCTAGCCAGGGCCAGTGACATGGGCCCTTGGAGCCCTCAGTGCAGAGGAGGTCAAAGGTGCCGCGTGATGTAGGCCAAGGTGAACTGCACCTGTCCTGGGGCTGCCGGGGGAGAGGGGCCAGCTTTTCAGCTCCAAAATCAGCCACTGGGCAGCTGCGACCTCCCCAAGGACTGTGTCCTGAGCTGACGCAAGTTTGCTGGTGTGTGCGCTGCACGTGCGTGTGTCCCCTGGCTGGGCAGTGGGACCGTCACCGCAGCTATGGTGGTTTTCCCAGGGTGTGCAGGGGCCTGGGCTCGGACAGAGCAGGAAGTGCAGGGAGAGGAGCGCAAACACGGGCTGAGTGCCAGGGCCTTGTGTGCTTTCTGTCTCCTGCTCCTCTCAGGGGCAGTGTCGCTAAACAGCTTCTCTCACCCCTCCCCGCCTCTCTGGCCAACAGCCCAAGGCTTAGGCTGGGACCATTGTGTGAAAGGCTGAGCCTATTTGAATTCCTGGGTTCAAATCTTGCCTTTGTCACTTCCTAACTGTGTGTTCTTGGGCAAGTTACAAAACCTTTCCGTGCTTTCTCTAAAGCAGAGAGAGTGATTACACCTGTCTGATGAGGATGCTGTGAGAACAGCTGGATCCTCTTAAAGGGATGTCTGGGCCAGGTGTGGTGGCACTTGGGAGGCTGAGGCAGGAGGACTGCCTTGAGTTAGCAGCCAGCTTCAGCTACATAGTGAGACGCTATCTCAAAAAAAAAAAGAAAAAATGAAACAGGGTGTCTGGCACTTCAGGTTGTGCAGGTGTTTGACAAACGTGGTGTTCATCAACTGCTCTTCTCTGTTGGTTTCGATCTCCGTCACAACCCCTGCAGAAAAGTCGGAGGGGCAATGAGGGTGCTACAGCTGTCGCGGTGACAGCCGGTGCGGAGTACCTGGCCTCTGGGCATGGTGAAAGGCTGCTCTCTGTGCAGGGAGGCTGGGCAGGGCAGGCTGCACAACCACGGGGCTGGGTGGCTCCGTCCCCGGCGGGCTGTGACGGGGCAGTGTCTCTGCTCTTGCAGGAGGCGGAGATCCTGAACACGGCCATCCTCACGGGGAAGACGGTGGCCGTGCCGGTGAAGGTGGTCTCGGTGGAGGAGGACGGCGCGGTGACCGGGCTGCTGGAGTCCGTGGAGTGCAGGTCGTCTGACGAAGACGTGGTTAAGGCAAGTTGGTGCCTGCAGGAGCCCGCGCTCGCTCCACATTGGTGTCCACGTGCGCCGAGAGCCATGGGTCACCTGCGTCCCTCCCCGCCCGGCCTGGTGAAATTGGAGACCGCAGGGCAAGGCCTGCGCCTAATCCTCTGGTGTCTTGCCAGCCCCTGGCGGTGACCGCAGGACAGGGGCAGGGACTCACACCCCGCTGACACGGTCGGGCTCAAGGATGCGCTGGGCAAGCTTGGTAGCAAAAGCATGTGTGAGGTCACAGGGCGCTGACGGGTATAGCAAGCCCAGCCTTGGTGTACAGACCTGGCCCAGGAGTGAAGAATTGCCGTCCCTGCCCCGTCAACCCCACAGCTCCGTGCCAGGCAGGGGCGCGGCCACCCGCTCCCCCTCTCCCGAACTCCTGTGACTTTCCTCCCCTGCCTCCTCATTCTTTTTCAATTGAATGAGGGGGGATTCAAAACACAGGTGTGCTGCGAGGTGCAGGAGGCCGGGGCGCCGCTCTGGCCGGGGCCGGGCCAGGAGGAGGATGAGTTCCCCGAGTGCTGCCAGCCACCCTAAGGGGGCTGCAGAGGCAAAATCAGCAGCACCCTGCGGGCGGCTTTCCACAGGGCAGGGGGGCAGCTGCAGCCTGCCAGGCTCTGTCCCGGCCCCTCCCGGGAGATGCATCAACATCTCTGCTCCAAAGGGAACAGTCAGCAAGCACAGAGCGAGTCTCCACCAAGGACAGGGCCTGATCAGGACGGCAGGGCCACGGAACCTGGGGGCCAAGCCCCGCTCTTAAGGGATTCAGTGAGACGGCCAAGGTTCAGGAAACCAAGGAGACAGTGTGAAGTGTGACGGTTACACCACTCCCGCCTCGTTCCAGAATCATCCTCACATAGGCGCAGGGCAGGCAGCTCCTTTCAGTGGTGCAGGCTGTGTCTGGGGATGTCCTTTTCCATTCTCTCTCTCCCTCTCTCTTCTACCCCATATCTCCCTAGAACGGAATGGTGGCCTCCTGCCCCTCTGCCACCTCATCCCCTGCATCCCCTGCCAGGTCAGCAGCCAGGTGTCAGTGTCTGCTCAGGACAGGTGTCTGTTAGCTTTCAGTCTCTGTGATGAAACGCCTGAGGTTAGTGACTTACAGGTTTATCTGGCTTGTGGTTTCAGAAGGCTCAGTGCGTGGTACGCTGGCTCCATTACTCCTGGGCCTAAGGTGAGGCAGAAGCATCCTGGCAGCAGGCCATGGTGAGGGACACCTGCTCACCTCACAGCAGCCAGGAAGGAGAAAACCTGAAACAGAACAGGAGGAAGAGAGAGAAAGAGACAGACAGAAACAGGCTGAGCCTGTGCAAGCGGCTTCCTCCTCCAGCCTTCATTCCGTCAGGGCCCCAGACTACTGGGTGCCACCCACATTCAGGGCATTGTCCCCCACACTGGGTGGGGCCCATGTGCCAGTCATGCTGGAAGCGCCCTCACAGCCACCCTCAGAAGTGCATCTTGCTAACTTCCCAGGCCTTCCCCAGTCCCATCCCGCTTACCTAAAGATGTGTCACCTGCTGCATTCTGATGGGAACTGTTGCCTCATCACTAACAACACCGCAGGCATACAGGAAGTGCTCAGCAAATGTTCGTGAGTGAATAAACGCACATGGGCTCTTCCGTGTGCAAGGAGTAGCAGCCTGAGGACCCATCCTTATCCTGAAAGCATCTTGATAATGTATGGGACATTCAGAACCTAATCTCCTGGACATCATGGGGCCCCAGCCCAACTGGAAGGTTCTCAGAACACTCACGCTAGCCCACAGCAGGGCAAAGTTGTGGGACACACAAGCTGTTGCATAAGGAAGCACTCAGTGCTTGTGTGGTTTATGAATACCTGTGTCCCAGTCTCTGGCAGAGTGCTGGGCACGGTCCTGTGGTGGCCGGCAGGGAGCTGCGGCTCCTGTGCCACCCCAGCAGTTCCAGAGAGTGTCGTGTATGCACCACTTGCTCAAAGACCTAGAGGTACCCGGTCACAGAGCCACATCCCCGTGGACGAGGCCATTGGCTCAGGGTCCCGTGCGGTGTCTAGTCAGAGCCCTGAAAAGCCACCAGCAGGAGCTCTCTGTCCCTGTATCACCCCCTGGGACAGACAGCATGCAAGGAAAACTAGAAAATGTCACGCGCTCAGTTCCCCGTAACTTGCAGCTGGCGTGTGACTTAGAACTGGAGGCCCACGGCCTGCACAGCTCATGCTGCTGCTCTGCAGGTCGCAGACGGCGGCAGTCACCTGGAACCCCTGGCGCTGCTGCTGTCGGTGGTCTCGGGGGAAGGAAGGCATAGGTCCCCAGGAACACTGGCCACATGTGCAGGCGCTGGAGGCTCTGGGCGGGGAGGGCCTTCCCCAGCCACAGGCTGGCAAGCTGGGAGTTGCAGCCTCCCGCGGGGAGCACAGGACTGCTGCCTTGCCCTCTGGGGATGCTGGGAGCTGTGTCTTATTCTATTTCAATCCATTGGAAGCCAACGGGTCCCCAGGGGGAGCATTTCAGATATTAGCAACAGTAGCCAGTGTGATTCTTATAAAATCTACCCCAAAAACTTAAGTTTAAAAGAAAATAATTTGACATGATTGACAAGTACAGAGTTGGGGCTCATTTAAGGGAGTTTTATGTAGAACCTCAAAATACACCAGATATACACTCCCCTCTCTCTCCCCACCTTCCTGCCTCTCCTCGCCCCACACCCTCTTCCTTCACCTGAGTTTCATCCCCACAGACACTGCCCTTGCCTTGGGAGGCAGAGGGACACCTCAGAGCTGGCTCACATCCAATACGAAAGAACCAGAACCTTCCAGAACATTCCCCCTAAGTCCTGCTGTGTGTTCTGATGGGATCTATGTAGGTCATCTCTGCTCATTGAGCTGAGCCCTGCAGCTCAGGGACCCAGGCACACTGCTGTCCCAAAGTGAGGGAGGTCAGGAGGCACGGGGAGGGTCCCGGGCAGATCCGAGGGCTGTGACCCGAGACTGGAGCAGGCCAGGCGGCGTCCCTGACAGTCTTGGGACAGGGAAGCCGCAGAAGGACGGCTCCCTGCTGGCATTTGTCCCACCGGGGAGGCCTAGGGCGTAGCGTCACGGGGGAGGTCCGCCAAGGCTTCTCTAATCCGGCCCTCTCGGGCTCGGGTGTCCCCACCAGGTCCTGAACAACCCAGGGCCTTTCCCACTCCCGGAGGCCCATTGCCGCCAATGAGGGCAGCAGGTTGCAGGGCGCCTGAGCTCGCTGTGCGCCCTCTCCCGGGGGTGGTGCTTTTGACCTTGTCCCTCACCTCGCAACTTCCCAGCCCAGGAGCCCGGGGTGCTCAGAGGCAGGTCCCTTCAGCCCTCACCCACTCGGAACCCCTCTCTGCCCCCACTCCCTGGCAGTGGAGCTCAGTACACGGAGCTGGGCTTCCCGCAGTTGCTCCCCGGCTCCTCGCAGTCCTCTCTTCGGGGCTCAGCCCTGGGCGGGAGAGCACTGCGGCCCGGCCGCCCCATCCTCCCTTCTGCTCTGTGCTTCCGGCAGCCCCAACTCACTTCTCACTGTCTCCTACCTGTTTGCCGTCCTCCCTGGCCTCCGGCAGGCAGGAGGTTCACTGTTCTCACCCACTCCAGTGGCTGCCTGGGAACAGCTCTCTGCGAATGCTCCTCGGCAAAAGGATCTTGTCTCAGCATCTCCCGTGGAGGGAGTGGAGAGGGCTGTCCCCTGTGGCCAGCGCTCAGAGGATGCTGATTCTCAGAAGGGAACGCTCCTCTGTGACAGGAAAAACACAGGGCAGAGCTATGCGCTGCTCACTGGGGTGAGAGCGGCTGTGTGCTTGCCAGACAGAGAATTTTTCCCTGGCCCTTCACACACAAAAAAGTAGAAATAGAGCCAGTGAGGTGGTGCACACCTGGAATCCCAGCACTGAGGGAGGCTGAAGCAGGAGGATCACCAAATTCAGTATGGCCAACTTTGTGGGACCTTGTCTCAAAAACTAAAATCTCAATGGTAGAACACCCCTGGGTTTATCCTTAGTACCACTGAAAAACCCTGGGAATATTCCAGGATAAGTGGATAAATTGCCCTTGGCCAGAGGAGAATGATGCAGGAGTTTGCAGAGCTCAACTGCTGGCATGGAACTGTGACAACCAGCTCTGCCGTGTAAGTACATGCATGACAGAGCGTGAGGCAAGCCGGAGCCGCAGCTCTACTCCCTTCCTGATTTCTGTCTTTTCCATAAAGGGGAAGCAGCCCAACAAGTTAGGGTTCGTGGGCAGCTTCCTTGGGTGAAGCAGCAGCTGGGGCCAAGGGCTCACGTACTGGCATGAGGTAGGGATCAGATCCAGCAGAGAGGGCTGCAGGCTACCAGCCCAGAGGATTTCACGGTCAGAGTGACAAAAGTGGGGCTTTAGCAGCTGAACCATGGATGCAGGCCAAACAGCTTCGGTTTCAGAGATTCTCAAGTGCGATTTTTGCTATGGTGACTGTGACCTTCCTTTGCTTCTTTTTAAATTTTTATTTTTATCAGTCCGTGTTTGCAGTATGTAATGATCGCGGTCCTTGTGTGTGGACAGAACAGAACACATCTTGCTTCCTCTTGCATTCCCATCCTTCACCTCCCTCCTCTGCCCCATCTCTTGGTTCCCTTCCTTTTTGCAAAAGATCTATCTTCCTGTTAACTATCATCTATCTTTTATTTTGCTCTTTAACATATTTATACCGTTTCTCATATAAGCGAAACCCTGGGATGTTTAAGTGTGTGTGCCTGATTTGTTTCATGTAACATTATGGTCTCAAGGTACATCCTTTCACCTACAAATGACTCAAGTTTATCCTTCTTTATGGCACAGTAGTACTCCACGGTGTGTAAATACCACACAGTCTTTATCCATTCACCTGTTGATGGACACATCGGCTATTTCCAAGATTCGGTTCTGACCCTCAGGTGAAGGGGCCTGTGCTGCACATAGAATATCAAAGCCCCGGGCTGATGTGTGTGGAGAAAGTCAAGTCGGGTTCACG